GCCAAAATCCTTACATAGTCTACCATCAGAGCTCCTTGCTCTTATCATTATCATTGTTGTTACCTGCCGTCGAGTCAGACCGACTCACAGTGACTCCTCCTTGGGTTTCCCAGGTGGTTATCACTAAGGAAGTAGATTGCCCCACCTTCCTTCTGAGGAGTGGCTGGTGGGTTTGAACTGCCAGCCTTCTGGTTAGCAGTCAAGTGCCTTAGGCAGTATGCTACCAGAGCTCCTAGGGGGTGGCATTACAGAACCAGAATAAAATCTGAAGCCAGTAAGTAAAATCAAATGGAATTAAACAAAGAGTTATATAAATCAGATAAATTCGGCTTTTATTACTACTGAAGCACTGGCAACATTTGCCTTGGAAAGGAATACACAAGTTTAGGATTTTCTAATTAATGTTTTTGGCTCTTGCTACACTTAAGTGCGGTAGACAGGCAATTAAAAACAAACAAACAAACAGAAAAACAGCTTGCAGCTCCAGCAACAAAAGTTCTTCTGACAAGGAGACTTTAACAAGAGATCAAGGAAGTTGTTAATGGACATTTTTGAAATAAGAAACACAACTGATAGAGGGCATCTAAGTGTTCAGTATAAAAAGTTTGAATGATATTTGGATTATTTTCTAAGCTTTTGTAGAGATAAACTTGGAATTGAATTTAAAAGACACTTAGGAAGGAACAAATGGAGCAGGAAGGGGCTCAAAGAGTGCAATATTAATGACATTAATGCAGTTTGGTCTTCATGTATTAGAGTTTTTCTTTTTCTGTTCCATGATTTCCAAACCTCCTCTGCATATAACCCATTGTCTTATAGATTTGGGCTTTAGCTCAGTAGGGAACTATGAAAAAAAGATTAGGACTCAGTACAACCCATTCCCATCATTGCCAATATAAATTAAAGCACCTTTTCTTATGTCAGTTGGTGAATAAATACATTCATTTTTATCTCAGTATGAATTCATCATCATGTTGAATGCAGTTTTGTGAAGAGTTTTATCTTGTGAAAATTACACCATTCTAACAAGGACATCTCCTTAAAGGGCATTAATTGCTACTTTGGGATTTGTCCTCCCAATGGCCCCAGTCAAGGGAAACATCCTACTTTTTTCATTTGTTTCTGTAAAGTCCTCTTTGTTTTAGGATAAAGGGCTCATCCTTTGAGAACTTGAATGCCCTAAGGAGTTCCCATATTCTGCTAAAGGTAAATCTTTTGGACAGATCCTTTTGGACAGGCTCTCTCTTCTGTGGCCATGATACAGTTATTCTCAGACTCTGCTTTCCACAGTGAAATTTGGAATGTTAGAGAAGATGGTATAGGAAGGCAACTGGGTTGATGTTTCCAGGTTGCCTGACAACTGCAGAGCCCTCACATCAGTTTATACATGATGTAAACTTAGATGAGAAAGAGAATGACAGCCATTGTGGACAAACCCAGGAAGATCAGTGACACACTACTTAAGAACCAGGTAAAGTATAAAAGGATAATATGACAAAAATTAGAGGAAAAGTATGTTAGTAATAATGGGGGCAAGGAGAGAATGTTAAGCCATCCATTTCCCTCATAATGTTTCATTTAAGACAGGCTATTTGATTCCACAGTTATCTTTGACAGCACTTCATTTCCTTCTTTTCCATTAAGAAGAATATGAGACCATAAAGCTCCTAAATTTTTTCTACAGGAGTCTTGTATTTTTCTGTCTATTATCTCCTATCCTTTTTTTTTTTTACCTCCAGAAAAATGCTGAAAGATGACTTATGCCACTTTTCAATGTAATAAGAAATCCAGGCTTTTATATAAGAAACATTAAACTAACGTCAGAGGAAGTACCTACAACACTTGTATTCAATTTCTTTCTTTTTGCTTTTTTGTATATGTGTTTGATATAATACCTCCATTCTAAGGCAATTTAAAAAAATCCCTTGCAATTTTTCCATAACCTCTCAAGATTTTTGTTGTTGTTGTGAGCTATTGAGTCAATTCCAATTCATAGTAAACTGAAGGAATCTTTATGATTTACTATTTGACAATATAAATTTGTGTTAAAATTAGAATGCTGGATAATTATCCTGGATGATTTCTGAGTCACGGAAAATAATATAGAATATTGTAACAATAAATTAATGATTATTTACATGACCAATATTTTTAGTATTAGAGGTGGATAGAAATACTTCTACATACCTGAACTAGTGACATAGCCTTGGGTGAAATTCAGTATTCTTCGCTCTGTAGCTTTAACTCAACCAATTAGACACTGCTTTCATCTTCTTTAAGAGGCCAAATTACAGTATTTGTGTAACTAAGAGACTCTTAAAAGAGGTGCCTGAAAGTGGACCTAGTGTGATTGAGTTTTGCCATATCCTACGTCCTAGAGTAAAAACTCAGACTCTGTTAAAATAAAAGCAAGGAGAACTAATGAAAGCTAAGACACGGTTCAATCTGGTTTCACTCTCATAGAGTGAAACCAATGCTCCGAAGAGGTGATTCTGACAAGTGCTTACAAAGGCAAAAGCCGCAAGTATGAGGAGCTGCCCTAAATATTTCAAATTGGTCAATCTGAGAACTACGTTATGGAAAAGTACAAAGTACAAGGTATTTTAAGGGCCTAAACATATAGGAGCTCTGGTAGCATAGTGCCTAAAGCACTTGGCTGCTAACCAGAAGGCTGGCGGTTCAAACCCACCAGCCACTCCTCAGAAGGAAGGTTGGGCAATCTACTTCCATAGTGATACTGCCTCAGAAATCCAAGGAGGTGTCGCTATGAGTCGGGTCCTACTTGATGGCAAACAACAACAACAACAATAAGCATATAAGAAGAATGATAAGTGGCACCTCATATAGAGTCGCTATGACTCTATATGACGATAGTCGCTGTTGACTTGACAGTAGTGGGTTTGGTTTTCATTTGTTGCTTTTAAGGGACTTCTCTGACAATCAGCTTACCCATTAATATCACATGCTTCCTGGAAAATCTGTGCAGGCAAAGATGATCGTTGTTACAACTTTGACCTAGTTAGCAACCCTTGACTAGTTAGCAAACTTTCTGAGAATTGCAAAACAGGAGTAATTTTGAGAAACATTCAAACTGACAAAATGGATCGGGCCTATACTTCTCTAGAAACTTCAGGCCTGTCAATTGCTTTGATTTTTAGAGTGTTTTTGTTACCATTAAGGAGCTCTAGTAGCCCAGTGCCTAAGGCATCTGACTGCTAACCAGAAGGTTGGTGGTTCAAACCCACCAGCCACTCTGCGGAAGGAAGACTGGGCAATCTACTTCCATAAAGATTTACTGCCTCAGAAACTCAATAGGGGTCACTAAGAGTCGGAATTGACTTGATGGCAGTGGGTTCTGTTTGTTTGTTTGTTTGTTTGTTACCCTTTAGAGTATGGGAGGAAGAAAGAAGGGGTAGGAAAAGAAGCAGAAGTGATATGACAAAGGTATTTAGGAACATTTCAATGGAGGCTTACTTTGTCTTATAGCAATTCTTGTTGCTGTTAGGTGACATGAAGTTGATTTCTGATCCTATGTTATAGGGTAGAATTGTTATAAGGCAGTTTCTTTGTGATAATCTTTATGGGAGCAGATAGCCAGCTCATTCTACAGAAATCTTTTGTCTAGCAGTTTAGCTATTAACAGTTGCACCACCATTTACTAATTACTTTTTGTAGCAATAAGTACAGTAAATGAAAGTGTTTATCTTTTATGTAAATAATTGACAATCCATGCAAAAAAGAATCAGCTAAAAACTCAAACCATTGTGCATATTTCAATGTCTTACCTTTATTTTTTTCAAAGTATAAAAAGCAAGGTGAAGTTGTAACACTCACATACCTTTAGTTGTTTAACTAAATATTCAGAAGATCCATTCCAAATCGTAGAAACCCAAAGCATATAAGTAATTGTAAGTTATGACTCAGTATTTAAATAAGATCTAAGTCTT